TGGTTCATACTCGTTTTGAATGTTTTACGGTGTTTGTTAGTGTTTTTGAACCATTGTAAGTCAAGGTTAAAAGCAAGGGAAGTTCGAGGACAAGTTTGGAGTCAAAGAGGACCACAAGATGCGTACACAGCGAGTTCGACGCGGTGTCCAAAATTTCCAGAACGCATTCGGGAGAAAAAATTGAAGGCTCGACGCATCGAGAGGTGCACAGTTCGGATCAAGGAAATCGATGCGTCGAGCCGGGTCTCGATGCGTCGAAGTAGGGGAGTATGCTGCCGAGGAGTTGCGAAGACTTGGCTCGACGCGTCGAGCGGGATGCGGCCCAGGCGATGTTTTCAGTGCGTTTTCGCGCGGAAATTTCCTATTTCTAATGGGTTTGGTTCTAGCTGTGTACATACTATAAAATTCAACCCTCCTCAACCCTAATATTTATTCAGACATCTTTGGAGACAAGAAGGAGATAAATCAAGAGCCACAAATTATCTTAGGAAGCAAGAAGAAAGCTAGGGAGATTTGGAAAAATTGTCTGGTTCAATATTCTACTCTTTTTGATAACTTGTATTTTCTTTATTATCTTTAGCTACGTATAATTTAGCCATGTGTGGCTAAATTCCATTAGGGATTATTGGGTAAAAAGTGTTTACGAACTTATGTGACTGTGCTCTCAGATTCTTTAATTTATTATTATTTGGGTTTTAAACTGGTGTTACTATTGTGTTTATTATTGCCGTTGCGAGTAGTTCAGGGCCTAGATTACTTGTTTCATTGCTCTGTTTATGTCATAACATGAGTTAGGCATAATTGAGAGTTCACACAATTGCACTTAACTTTTGCACATTGGGAGATGGTAGTAGTTAGGGATTATTTATGAATGCTTGTTCTTGTTCTTATTGGATGTTTATACCACGGGAGTGGATATTCACTAGTGTTAGTGACTACGGGAGTAGCTTTATACTACCTTGCATTCTCACACTCGTTTAAACCCAGATTTAATATTACATTAGGTCAGACATTAGAGAACTAAACACTTAAATATTAGGAATTTCAATCTCTCTATATTGTTTTCAAAATCCTGAATCATTGCTTTGCTTTATTTAACTATTTGCTCTCTTCCATCATAATCGTTAGGATTAGCTTCTCATAGAATAAATTAGTAATTGGTGCTTAATATCCCACTTGCCTATGGATCAATTACCCGATACTCCGGATATTATTTATTTGAAAATATACTACAATCAAAAGCTTTTGGGTATTCAATGGGAAATAAAGAGGTAATTAATTGGTAGTTGAGGGGAATAATGGTTGATTTATTTGGTTTAGTGGGTATTTATGGGTATTCACCTATGCACATGTTTTAGTTTTATTGAAAAAAAAAAAAAAAAAAAAAAAAAAAAAAAAAAAAAAAGCAAACAAAAACTTTTCCCCAAACAAACCCTAGAATATCGCCTTCCGATATCAACGGAGAAATTCAATAAAAATCAGATACATATAATCCGGCCCAACAACTGGCCCACGGCCCATATCTCCTCCCCTATATAAAGCGACATCGGCCAGCATGCAATTCTCGCTCAGTTCACAGTCGTGTAACGTTCTCATTGAAATCATACCGAACCGTGCCCTTCTTCCGTCCCTCCTTGATCCTTAGCCGTTAGGTTTCCGTCCTCCTTTCTCCTTCTTCACCGCCCTCCTCGGAAAACCGCTTCTGTGCGACTTTCCGATATATAAAACTCTTTTTTATAGATCTGCATGGTGGGATTTTTATTCGACTCTTAGATTTGCGTTTGTTTTGAGTGGTTTGTAGTAATCTCTCATTTGTAATCACAATAATTAACTTCTTCTGAGCGGTCTGGGGATTTTCGGGTCGATTAGGGGTCAGTTTGGGGCGGATTATCTTTTGATTCAGGTGTTTTTTTGCTTCTTTTGAGGGGGTAGCCGGGGCTCCGGCCTCGGCGGGTTCTAAAGCCCCCACCGTTACGAAATCGGAGAAAAATACTGCTATTACACACCAATCTGTACAAACAATCAACCTTTTCTACCTAATTCTTTGATTCTTTTTTCACTTTTCCGGCCGACCTTAAGCTAAACAGATCGGGAAGAGATGCCGGCCCTTGCATGTTGCGTAGACGCTGCTGTTGCACCTCCTCCCGGCTATGCCTTCGCCTGGGATAGATCTCTTCCCGCGCCGGAGGCTCTTGTCTCCTCCGACGCACCTCTGCCAACAAACGCCGTCCCTCCCACCGCTTCCGTCGATCATTCCCATTGGTCTCCCTCCATGTCCGCTGCCCTTTACAGGATTGATGGGTGGGGTGACCCTTATTTCACCGTCAACTCGTCCGGTGATATCTCTGTTAGGCCCCACGGTTCGGCCACCCTCTCCCACCAGGAGATCGACCTCCTCAAGGTCGTGAAAAAGGCTTCAGACCCCAAACCATTGGGCGGGCTGGGATTGCAGCTCCCTCTTATCGTACGGTTTCCAGATGTGCTGAAGAACAGGCTCGAGTCTTTGCAATCCGCTTTTAATTTTGCCGTTGAGTCCCAGGGATACGGGTCGCATTACCAAGGTGTTTATCCTGTGAAATGTAATCAAGATAGGTTTGTGGTCGAGGACATCGTGAAATTCGGGTCGTCGTTCCGGTTTGGATTGGAAGCCGGATCCAAACCAGAGCTCTTGCTGGCTATGAGCTGCCTCTGCAAGGGAAGCCCCGATGCTCTCCTGATATGCAACGGCTTCAAAGATGCTGAGTACATTTCGCTTGCCTTGGCTGCAAGGAAGCTCCTTTTGAACACAGTGATTGTGCTTGAACAAGAGGAGGAAGTGGATTTGATAATTGACATCAGCCGGAAGATGGCGGTTCGTCCGGTGATTGGTCTCCGGGCCAAGCTGAGAACCAAGCACGCCGGCCATTTTGGGTCAACATCTGGTGAAAAAGGCAAGTTCGGGTTGACCACAACCCAGATTCTCCGTGTTGTGAAAAAGCTACAAGAATCTGAAATGATTGATTGTCTTCAATTGCTGCATTTCCATATCGGATCTCAGATCCCATCCACGGCCTTGCTCGCAGATGGGGTTGGTGAGGCCGCCCAGATTTACTGCGAATTAGTCCGCCTTGGCGCCTGCATGAAAGTCATCGATATTGGCGGCGGGCTCGGAATTGATTATGATGGTTCCAAATCAGCTGATTCTGAAGTTTCTGTTGGGTATACGCTCCAAGAATACGCCTCGGCTGTTGTTCAAGCAGTCCGCTTTGTCTGCGACCGTAAGGGTGTTAGCCACCCCGTGATTTGCAGTGAAAGTGGCAGGGCAATTGTTTCTCATCACTCCATACTCATATTCGAAGCGGTTTCTTCCAGCTCTGACAAGTTACTGCAGCTCCCTAACCCGGGGCTTCAATCCTTCGTCGAGAGCCTTAAGGATGATGCCCGGGCGGACTACCAGAATCTATCTGCTGCTGCGATTCGTGGTGAGTATGATACCTGTGTCCTTTATGCTGATCAGCTCAAACAGAGATGTGTTGATCAATTCAAAGAAGGGTCTTTGAGCATTGAACAACTGGCTGCTGTGGATGGAATCTGTGACCTGGTTTCTAAGGCCATTGGTGCTTATGATCCTGTCTGCACTTACAATGTCAATTTGTCTGTCTTCACTTCAATTCCTGATTTCTGGGCTTTTGGCCAGTTATTTCCAATTGTTCCAATCCACCGTCTGGATGAACGTCCCGGGGCTCGGGGCATATTGTCTGACTTGACCTGTGACAGTGATGGGAAGATTGATAAGTTCGTTGGGGGTGAATCAAGCTTACCTCTTCATGAATTGGGAGGCAATGGAGGGCGGTACTATTTGGGTATGTTCTTGGGCGGGGCTTATGAGGAGGCACTTGGAGGATTCCACAACCTGTTTGGAGGCCCTAGCGTTGTTCGCGTGTCACAGAGCGACGGCCCTCACAGCTTCTCTGTCACGCGGGCAGCTCCCGGGCCATCCTGTGCAGATGTGCTCCGAGTGATGCAGCACGAGCCCGAGCTCATGTTCGAGACTCTCAAGCACCGTGCAGAAGAATTCCTGCATGACGAGGACAATGGAGGGATGGCCTTCGCCTCCCTCGCAAGCAGCCTCGCGAACTCTTTCCACAACATGCCTTACCTTGTTGTTGGCTCTACTTGCTGCCTCACTGCTGCCACCACCCCCGGCAGTGGTTACTATTATGGCAATGACGTGAGCGCTGCTAACCCTATCGCAGATTCCTCGCCCGGTGAGGATGAGCACTGGTCTTATTGTATTGCTTGAGTTCGTCCTGGCATGGCATACCCCATTTCCGCCATTTTCAAGTTTGTTGTCTGAGGTCGTCGTCGTCTTCTGTTTTATTAATTATTGGTTCAGCTATTATTGTATTTCCCTTTCTAGTGTAGTAGATGCAAGAGGCAGCAGGCCGGAAGGATTGAAGGAAGGAATTAACTCTGTTGTTTCAGTGTTTAATTCCCTTCCCCTCTGTTATCATCATCTTTAATAAACTTCAGTTTCTAGTCACATATGCCCTTAATTGTTTCGTGTATTGCTGCTTCATTTTATTCTCAATCTTAACTATGAACGCATTATTCAATTATTCTTGATCATATATTCTTCTTCCATGTCAGAGACATAGTTATGAGGCTTATCCGAACCTTACATTTTCTGTGGGTTTATACAGCATTGCAATAACTGATGGATAAGAATTTTGAAGCCTTAGAATATGGATCGTTGAGTGGAGCCGTATGAAATTATGAAGGGTGTGGTCCTTGGTAGTTGGTGCCTTCTTCCTTTATAGACACTGGACCAATAAACATAGCTCTGCAACTTGGCCTCCCTGGGGCAACGACGTATCACGCATATATGCTCTTCATTCACAATAATCAATACTAAAAATGGCATAAATTTAACCATTTCGGTTTCTAATTGCGTGTAGTATCTTTTAATTTGATATTAAAATTATGGTTGCGTGTGTATGGTGTAAGATGACATTATAATAATAAGCCATTGAAGTTTGAAAATTTTAAGTGGATTCTCTCATATGTCATTGATATTGCTATAATGAATACAGAAAAGATAGTACACAAAGGCTCTTTCGATCTTCCTGGAAAAGTTATAAAATAGCAGCAAAACAAATCTCTACGCCTCCAGAAAATCAGTGGAGCTGGCAACTGCATTCCAAAGAATGAAATGAAATATACGTAGACGCTAGCTAGTCACCCGCCACGCCTTTATGACATAATTGCTTTCAAGGCATCCTTCACGTAAGGGTATTTGAACCGGAAGCCCAACTCCCTAGCTCTAGACGGCACCACCTTTTGCCCGTCCAAAACCTAAAACAACATAACAGTGGTGAGGATTTCGAATGTTAAACGTGTGAATCTAATAGTTTGAGACAGTCAGATAAGAGAACTGTTAATGCAATTGGAAGGAAGGTCGGAAAAGCTATGAATGCAAAGGTCTTACCACAGTGGCACCTTCACCGAGAACGGTTTTGAGAGCAAAATCTGGTACTGGGAGCCATGATGGGCGGCCTAAAACAGATCCCAATTCATCGCACATCTCTGCCAGCCTTACAGGGTTTGGAGCAGTTCCATTAATGACACCTATTAGGATCATTAATGAATGAATCAGTGATAAATCGGGCATATTCTTCTGCTAAAGAAAGATCGATGTTGCAAGCTAGCAGTGAACTAAGATGTAAATCGGGCATATGTTACCTCTGTATGATTGATTGGTTAAAGCTTCATATATGAGGTTCACCAGGTCATCAATATGAATCCATGAGAACCTGTATCATCCATATATAGTACTATTTGCTAAGGGTGGGTTCTTGAAAGGGGACTGAACTAAGAAGTAAGAACAATGCAGCATACCACTGGCTTCCAGAACCCAAGGGTCCTCCAGCAAACATCATGAAGAGCGGGATCATTTTAGCTGCAAATCACAAACCAAAATTGTTAGCCTGTGAACCCGACAATTTGGAACAGTTAGTAAGAAAACTGCTAATGCAATTGTAAGGTCGGGAAAGCTATGGGCCAGGCCTTCTCCCGAGTAAATACATGAAACCCACCTAAAGCACCACCATCTTTTCCAAGGACAACGCCGATCCGGATAAGTGCTAGCCTAACATCCTTATTGACTTTAAGAGCACTGGCTTCCCATTCTCTACAAACCTGATAAATGGCGTTTTTAAAGAACATCAATTAAGTTGGTTCCAATTTATTCGCATTTATCAGTTTTCTGTGTTCAAAGGATTACCTCGGCCAAGTAATCGTTTCCTGATGGACTTTGCTCATCAAATACTTGTGTCTCACTGGTACCTGTGATTTGAAAATCAGACTGAAATACTGAGGTCTTCTATAATTTGAGAAATCAAACTAAGAATTTAATATGAGACCAGGGGGGTTGCATACCATAATAGCCAACTGCAGTTGCACTAACCAAAACTTTAGGACGAACTTCTTCTTGTGAATTGTTTATCAAATCTACAACCTACACAGAAATGGATATTCACCAGCTAAGATAACTCATCCAGCTTCAGTAGCAAATTAGCGGTCTTTATGTTCTTTAGTTAAAAATTGATTAAGCAAACCGAAAATCTATCAAACCTTTGATGTGGCCCTAATCCTGCTTTCTTTAATTTCTTTCTTGATCTGCAGTATGATAACAGAAGCACTATATGCATCATATTTTACAGATAATGCAGGGACAACGAACTCGACCAAATAGATGAAACTTATCTAATCAAGTCTTGAAGGAGTGCCTAATTGCCTATACCTCAGCTGACCATCTTGTACTTATGGACATTCCAGCCAAGTTTACAACAGCAGTAGAACCTTCAATGCAGTTTTTCCACTGAGGCTCCTCTGCAATTACAATTCCTGGGAACTCTTTCTCTGCACATTCAACCAATATGTAACTTTTTGCATATATATAGAAGGGAAAAATGCTGTTAAAAAGTCAGAGTGATTTGTGTACAAGAAAGAAAGAAATGCATGAACTTCATCAGGTCATCAGCGCATATTAAAATAATCATTACCTTCTTACCAGGAAAAATCGATTGAGCTTTTGGTCTAGACCTTGTCAGGACACGAACTTTATGGTTATCTACACTTGAAGGTAGCAAAGCGAAATCTTTTATTTCATCAGAATATGCAAAACATGAAGCAGTTTGCAGTACAGAAAAGTTTAAATTCATATAGGGCTCTCAAAGAGAATTGAAGGCCTCTAGTACACCAAAAAGTTCCATTATCAAAGAACAGTCAGAAAATACTAATAACAGGCATCTGTACCTTGCTGCAATCTTTGCACCAATCTTTTCCCAATAAACCCAGTAGCTCCAGTTACTGATACAATCATCTGGCTTGCCTGAATAAATTAAGAAGAGTACATATCATCACATTGTACCCAAACACAATTAATCTTTCGGCTTCAAAAAGAAGACTACACTTTGAAGATGTATGATTATTGATTCATAGTCCCACTTTGGATAAAATACTCTTGGACCTTAAAGAAAAAGAAGGATGAGATTTAGGATATAGCTAGGGGATGCTGCATTACCAGACAATTAAAATATAACTATCTTAGAACCATATTAAAGTAATTGATCAGAGCAAAATACTTGTAAACAAAGAAAATTGTTCAACCTTAATTCATAAGGGGGAAAGTGCCAAACACAGTACCTTCTGAGAAGAAACAGATTCACTGAGACACCAAATCCTCAATTTCGGGTACCCTTTTGCCTGAAAACAATCAAGAGTTAAATGGAAAGAAAATGGCAGCATAAAGCATAAAACTTTGGAACATTCATATAGAATTTGCAGCTTCTTTACTTTACGCACAGGGAAGGATTGGGAGGTGTGAAGAGGAGGAGATATGGAGGTTTTCCAAGCCAAGGTAGCAGCAGAAGCTCCTCTACAGAGCTCCATTGATCCAAGCAACAATTCTTTCGAATGTAATCTACTTGCTTCACGCTCCTTTCCTAGTACTCATTAGCGAATCTGAAGAGGTCTCGTCGTGGAAGAATCGGAGCCACACCCACATCACGTCCATATCCATCATGCATTTTTTCCCCATTTATTAACTCCCATAAATATCTCTTTTTTTTTTTAATGAAGTATGTAGTTCTTAATTTTTAATTAAAATTTACGATATGACATTACTATTTACCCTCTATCATATTGTCGGGGACCTACTCATTAAACCTAATTCAAATTTAAACTACGAAGACCGAGTGTTGTTGTTCCATTCCACTACATTCTTATTATATTCTAATAACATATGAGACATACACATCGATATGTTTTATTTTAAATGCACAATCCATGTAAATTAATAATTTTACTAAACAAACATAAGTTTGGTACTTATAATTTAAATTAATTTAACCAATATAACCTCCTTATCTAATGGAAGTTGAATTGCCTTAAAGACCTTACTTTCCCATCCAACAACTCACCCACCTTATCCTATATTAAACAAAATCTAAGTCAATATTAAACTTTTAAAAAAATATATTGTTTGTTTAAAAGCATTTATCTTGACTTTTCAAATATTACATATATTTCTCGTCATACACATTATTTGAACAATTGTTATGGCACGCAAATCATCCAACAAATACTTAAAAAATGGTATTACCTTTGCTTGTAAGCCAATTCGAATGCTTACAACTTAACTGATTGAGTAATGATAACTAATATAATGAATCAACACCAACTAACTAAACTATCAATTCAATTCAACAAAACAAATTCTCTCTATACACATTAATACCACTGATGAAAATAGAACAAAATGGTTCCCAAATGAAGAGTGAGAGTCTACTACAGAACATAGGCTCCTATAATATATCCTAAGCTAACCAATCAACAGTACTCACAAATTCAATTATGCAAAGTCAATTTCATCTGAGGTTAGGATATCCCATAATGTCTTGAAAAAAGAAAAGGGTTAACTTTCATCTCTCATGTCTGATCTACCACTCTCTATATAGCTCTATTTGCATTTTGCAGAACACTCATAGGAGTGATGCCATGCTATTTCTCCAGCCAAAGGATCTCCGGCTCATGCGTGGAGGAGTGAAGCTAAGCCCAAACATCTCTTTGAGAGCCTCTCCTTGCTCGGAGAAACCAATCAGCTTAGCAACAATCGCGGCGCTCTCTGTTACATGATTCGTATCAGTGTTACTCCACACGCGGTGAGCTAGATTATGTCTCCTTCGTTTTGAGTTCAATGTAATGCCCCATTTTTGGTAGATGGAGTGCCTTTCGTCTCCCATTAGCCTTTTATGGATGAGCCTCCGAAGCATCTCTCTCTCACGACGAAGAGCCTTAAGGCTGTAATGCCATGGAAAATGGGGGAAAAAAACAATTAGAGGCAAAAAAGGCCAAATCCAACCAATTAGTTAGTCTAACTCATGACTTTATAAACCCATATGTTCTCTCTTATTTTATCAATGTGGGACTTTAACATATACCTTGATGCAGGTGTGAGTATTTTACCACCTTGGACAGCAGGGTTTCCATTGGCAAATGATTCCTTGAGGAAGGAAAGCCTTCTAACCTCTACCTCCATGTAAATGGAGTCCATTGGGTCACCTTTAAACAGCAGGAAGAAGTATGTCCTGTGGATCAATGATACATTGCAAGTCTGCCAAAGTTCAATTATCCGTTTCTGCAGCCTTTCAAACTCGAGAGGCCAATCCGAAGGATCCACCAGTGGATCCAATCCTACGTCTTTGACACTCCTCGTGGCCCCCCGATTATCCTGCATACCTGCCTCTTCAACCTGGAATGGAATCAAGCAAAAATGTCAAAAATCTACGACAGAATAAGCAGAAGAAAGGGAAGTTCTATAGATATGGCAATAATCCAGACCTGATGAAGCTTAGCCATTTCCTTCAGACCAGCAACAAATGTGTCAACACTTGGAATTCCCTCCCCGCTCGTGCTGTTAAGCTCGTCTATGAAAGTTGTACCGTTGGAAGACTGTGAATCGTTTCTTGACAGTTTAAGGTTGTTTGCATCGTAACCCACTGGAGGTTGCTTCCGGTGTTTCCATTGGAAGCCTTCGGGTCTTCCAGGGAAGTCTTTCTCGAACCCATTGGGTGGTGTTGTCTCACATTGTCCAACCATCTCGGGATCAGATGAAAACGAATCAGACATAACATTGGCTCTACAGCTTCTGCTTCTCGTTAACCCCAGGCTTCTAGAATCCCTCATTTCCTGCTCTGTTGCTCCCTGAATGAAATAGTTTCTTATACCACTCGTGCTTATAGGTGAGGGTGGTGATACCTCGTGATCAGAATCTGGCAACATTCGATTATTGTTGGTAGGTAACTCGAATAATTCAGAAGCATGATCTGTACAAGACTCATCCACTTCAATACAGCGAAATTCCTTGCAATGGTCATCGGTTTCATCATCTTCACTCCCAATTGCAAGTTCCTTTCTCTGCTGTAGATGAGACGAAACAGAGTTTTCTCCATTTTCTGACCCAGATACCGAGCATTCATTGTCACAAGTGGTTTCTTCCAGGGGTTTAGAAGAATAACTACTGCATTTGAGCTGCAACTCGAAGACATAAAAGAATAAATCATATACTTTAGCAAAAATAGAAGAAAGAAAGAAGTAAAGCAATCTGTGAAACAATATTCTTTCTATAAAAAGAGATAATACAAACCATATTGCTAGAATGCTGATCATTTTCATTCATCTGCAGCAAATCCTCAACCCGTGATTGAGCAAGATCACGTTGTTTTGTTAGTTCTTTAATCTCCTTCTCCAGCTGCAGATATATAACATACCGTGATGTGAACATTCTATGAACGGAATGAGCAAAAGAAAACGAAAGGAATGGGGAAACATAACCTTTTCGATCTGCATATCTTTTTTCCTTAGCAGTCCCACATGATCACAACAAGTTCCGGGTGTTCTCAGTTCAGTCTCTAATCTAGCTAACTCTCTCTGCAAGTGCTTCACCAAGGCCTTGTCAGACATAACCACATTGACTTGTGCGTTGGTGGATACTTCCTTTGCACAACAAGCAAATAAGAGAGTATTTCGCGATTGCTCAACATGACTTCTCGCAGGGCTTAACGTGCATATTATAGCAGTTCTAGCATTGCCACCCAAGGCAGGCTGCAGAATTCGTGTTAGCTTAGAATCCCTGTAGTTGATGTGACCATTTCTCCCTTTACTGTAACATATCAAACCGTTGTGTTATAAATGTTCGAGTGTCTCATAAAAACTCGATAATTTAGGAAAAAAAGGCAAGATCAACCTTAACTTGCGAATGACAGTTCCTAAAGTGAGTAAACTACGGTTTATGTGACAGCCTTCCTTCAGTCTTTGACCAACAGATAATGCCTGAGATGCACGCTCACTTCCAGCAAGGTCAACAAAGTTCTGCAGGTAAAAGTTAATAAGCATTCTACTATATTATGGTTCATCATCAGGAATTTCGGGCTGTGGACCGTAACAAGTAAAAGTTATCGATAGCATACCACACTAGCAGCTAGGGTCGTTTTGTTGTCCTTCCCTATAAACTCGCGAGCAGAGCTTTCAATTGTCTGAGGAACAGCCAAAACAAAAAACAAGAATTCCTTAATCCAGAATAAGATTCAAATAAATAAGAAATACTTGTAAAGTAAGGCAATGCACATTCATACCAATCTAAGAATTTGATGAGATCTAGAGCTTGTTTCATTCAGGTAAGTCTCCCCGATTTGTCTTTGAGCTGCAAGAGGCACAAGAACACGTGAAAAATGGCAAAAGTAATATTTAGGTTCGACTATGAACTGGCAAACAGTAGAGTCATTATATAGTACCTTCACAGATGGATAGGAGCTCCTTGAGATGACTCCAATCTCTCAGAGTTTCTTCTGTGAGTTTTTCGACAATAACTCCTTTCTGATGAAGCATAAATCTTTAGAAAACGTCACGTAACAACAGATCAAATTAAAGCAAGATGACCGAACTCACCTCTGGATCATCAAGCAGTCTTAGGGGAGAATTATCTGAGCTGAGAAGGTCACGAACAACTTCATTGTAGATTTCAATAGCAGAAAACTTCAAAACAAATGCTCTTTCTTCATGCTGGATAGCATAACCAAATATTACCACTAATTATCCCGCCACGACAAATATACAGTGACATGTAATAATCAAACACGAACATGTAAAAAATTACCTTTTGTATATAATCATAAATATCCGCTACAGTGTACTCTGTGATTCCGTTCATGGTGTATGTCTTTCCACTGCTGGTTTGTCCATACGCAAAAATAGTTGCTAAATTTGAAATTTTTTGGAAAGGGAAACAGTAAGTTGCATTCAAAGTGGTGAATTATGCAACGAATCAGAGTGTGAAGGCAAGAAACAAAGTACTCACAATTGATACCGCTAACAACTGAAAGTGCAATGTCCTTCGTTCCTGAATCATACACTTCTCTTGTTGAGCAGTCACCCCTGAATACACTGTCTATCTCAAGAAAGACCAATAAAAACATCAGAAATTCAATTTCGAGAAAGATGAGCCATTCAAAAATTACATTTCCAAGCCAAAATTCAAAATTTCACCCAGACTAGTTAGTAGTTACCAATTGCAATTGCGCCAAATGCAAAGAACAAAATAGAAAACGTTCTTACCAAATGTATAAGCAGACGGAAAGCCAGATCGCTCCTGGATGCTGTTCCTATACAAAATCGTGGTCTCATTGATGCATTCCCAATCTGAAACTTCATTCCTCGAAATCTCTTTTTCACTCAATGGCCTCAATCTCACTAACACCAAGATCTTCTCTTCTCCACCCCCTTGCATTTTCTCCCACTTCATCAACTCTTCTCCACCAATGGCTCCCATTTCTAACACACACCCCTCACACCCCTCACCCGTACCCCCACCCCCCCTCCCCCCCCCCACCCAACCCTCCTTTTCTCCCACACCCTTCTGATACTGCTAAAATCACTTCAAAAACAACAGACCCATAACTCACAAAACCCCTAGAAAGAAACTAAACAAACAAGAATAGCCTTTTGCTACACCATCATACTGCCCAAAAAAAACAAACCGCATTTAAGGATGTTAGCCACCGGGTAGTTGTGAACAGCCGGAATGGGTAGAGAATGCATTTCAAAGCAGTAAAAATGAGAAAATTACAGAAAGCATTAATGAACAAACTAGCCGGTAGACTACACTTAACCTTTGGTACCAAGTACAACAGAAACATATTATGAATTTATGATTCCATTTGCAAAGAAAGTGGGAAGTTATGGCAGATAGCTTTGCTTCATAGGGACCCATCTCATACCCAAATATGGGTCCCAGAGGCCATATATGCTTCAAATCAAAGCAACTCAACTCAAGCTCCAAAACCATGACTTTCCCATCCCTCAACAAGGGGCCGGTGAAGCTTCGAACTTTCAGAAACAGTGGACCCCAACCAAACATATCCTACATAAATTGTGTGTGTATCAAAGAAGAGCTCACCTTCTGGCTTCCGTGTCGTTTCCAAGGAAAGCCACTGTTGAACTGAGAGTTTGTTGGATAGAGTTTCCCAAATGAATGGTCAGAATCCTCTGTGCTTCAATTCCTTTTCTGGATTGGAGAGCACATGAAAAAAGAAAAAGCAAAAAAAAAAAAAGAAAACAAAATTATATCCGTTAGAATTCATCGAAATCCTAAATTCAGAACAATAAAAAAGACTGTTTCATCATGACTTTGAATCACCCATTTCACCTTTAAGAAAAGGACGAAAATTATATTTAAATATTATATAAAAAAAATATCATTAAATATTATAAAAATATCAGATCAATAAGAAGCAGTTTCAGGTTGCAGTTTGCCAGTTTTATATTTATTAAAGTTACATTTTTGGAGAAAAAAAAATATTTTTTCCGGCGGAAAATTTGTGAAAGTCGACTGTGAGCTTCAAGCTGAAAACTTTAAACGATCACTCTCATAGAAGTTGGTGAAGAAGCTTTACGAAAGCGTCGAATAAAGCTTCAAAAGGAAAAATATATATAATAATAATAAATTTAATTTAAAACAAAAAAGAAGCTAAAAGAAACAGAGATTGCAGTGGCAATGGCAGCACCGCAGCATCTTTACCTCCATTATCTCAGAGATTTTTTCAAGATAATAAAAAGAAAAAAAAAACTCGAATTCACATTTGAAACAGTTATGTTTCTCTGTATCCTCTGTATATGTGCGCATATACATACGGGAGACGACGAAAGAATAAAAACGGTAACTGTCGGAGTGTCCTGTTTGGTAAGGCGTCAACGTCTGTTTTCGTGCGCCGGTGCGATAGCGGACCGACAGCTGGCTTGACGATTTTACCCCTTGCTTTTGATTTTGCGAAATCTCTGGCGAATGGCTATCCCCCACGTGCCCACGTGGCACCGCCATATCGGTGCATACTTTATCCATCTATTGCGGTTTTCCCCTCCCCGGGAGAGAGAAATATTCATTTTTCCACGACCAAATACGTGACTCTACATATTCTGCATTTTCTTGAAATTGGAAGTAAACGCATTTGAGCTAAGAGTATTTATATTTTACACAAAATCATTAGTAATCACGGAACTTGTCAAATACGAGCAAGACGATGAAGAAAATGAAAGGATACGACTAAACTGGGCTTATAGATCCAGCTATTATGGGGATTTCCTATTCCCAAAAGGGGATCTGGAAATTGTTGGCTAAACTAATCCTGTCCGCAATTCACGCATCAGTGTACGCTGCCACTTTTTGCTCTGCTCTGCTCATCAGACAGACGTGAGACGACAGTAAAATCACACTTTGACGTTTGACTGGAGAGTATCAACACTAAAATAATGGACTCATGAGGAAAGTGAAGACTCAAGAACTCGCCGCAAATGGAGGTGAATTATTATTATTGTGGCATTACAAAAGTGAATTCTGGTTGAAACTGAAAAGTAGTAAAGATGCCGTGATTCTTTTTTTTTTTTTTTTTTTTTTTCCCTGACAAAAGGGTGGCTTTAGTTATTAAGACCCCATTATTTCTTCTCCCATGCTGGCAAACATTTGTTATAAGTTTGTTACTGCACCCAATATTTTCACTTTGTATATACTCTCCAATCTACTTCGCTTACTAACTGTCTTAAATTAATAGAAATACTTTGGTATAAAGTTTTATAAAAAATAGAAAATAGTAATTTGCTTACAAACTGGCTTAAATTAATAAAAATATTTTGGTATAAAGTTTTATACTATGACATTAAATCATACTCCGTGAGAAGCGTAGAAGTCTTCCAAAACGACTAACTTATGTGAACTGTGAACGGGAACATATCACATACTGGGGCCCAGCAGTAATGAGAAATTGAAAACTTGAAATAAGGTTGTTTTTCGTCACGCATACCATGATATTTCAAAAATCAAATGATCACTGCCGGGCCACCTGTTCGCTCCCTTTTTTGCTTTTAGTTTTCTATTTTTAATGTCTACCAGCCTCAACAACTACTGTCCTTTCTGTTAATAAAGATAAGGTGAATATATCACGGAGTAAAATTTAGTTTGTATATTCATTGATTGATTCAGTATGTATTTCCAAATAAATATTTGAAATTATGTTAAAAATTTATTGTTCCCCCTTAAGAGGTAAATTTCTTAAAAATAAGTAGTTTGTGTATAACTGAAGAAACAGGATTTTTCGGTAAACTTTAATGATTTATTAACTAGACTACAAGAAATCTGCAGTTCTAGAAGCTTAAAGGGGAACAAGAAAAATGTAGCCATCTCCTTCTAGCACCATATAACAGATATCAAATGATCAAACCATCAAAGGCACACCAAACGATCAAAGAATGCTCGAGAAACTCATCTGACTATGAATGTAGAAAAAAACAAACAAACTTCATAAACTAACATGATCACCAAACAATCACTTGCAACTGTTGAAAACATGGGCCTGTTCTAGTCTCTTAAATCACAGTTGTTATAGAAGTGCACATAACTCAATGACTAGGAAAATTCAACCAAGAGTTGGTCTTGAAACAACATGACTAAATCTCATCCAGAGAGAGTACAAGAGGTGTTAATCACCGCCATGAATATAGCGATGTATTATCCATCAGTACCTCCTGGGAAAACGGTCCATAAACCTTCCCGATGGACATTCATATGCATAATGTCCTCTTCCCCCGCAATTGTGACAGATCATCATGGTCATGCAATCCTGACTCATATGGCCATACTGGGAGCAGTTCCTACACATAATATCCCGAAATCCAGCATCCCGATATCCAGCAGCACGATGGCCAGGACCCCTCTCTTCAACGATGCCAGCTTTTGGGCAATCTCTAGCAACATGCCCAGATATGTTACACGAATTGCAGACAGGATCATTCTGACAGTCACGTGCCAGGTGACCAGTCTTCCTACAGTTTTTGCATGCCTTGTCATTAGTGCAGTCAGCTGCTATATGACCTTGCTTGAAGCAATTGTTGCAAAGCCTCAGGTCACCAGGCAGCAGAGGGGGAGCTGTGCAGTCTTTGGCACGATGTCCTGCCTTCCCACAAGTGTGGCAGATTCCTTCATTTGGACAATTCCCAGCCATGTGGCCCGGTTCTCGACAGTTCCAACATAGAGATTTTGTAGTGCACTCAGATGCAATGTGCCTGGTTCAAATTTTATAAGTAAAACTAAGATAATAATACTATTTAAATTTTTGGAATTATTTGCATCATGATAGTTAAACTTGTGGAGCCACTAGTGTAACAAAATATGACTAATTAGAAGAGAAGTCTTCAGGGTACATACCCGGGAAGGCCACAATTATGACATATTGCCACATTAGGACACTCTCTAGCAAAATGACCAGGCCTTTTACAATTCTTGCACAGACCGTTCTGGCTGTAAAGAAGATAAAACAATATCGGATTTAAAAGACAAGAATGAAATTGAACATGTAATGAATAATATTATAATATATTACATAATAATTCTTCAGCTCATTCAATTTTAAATTTTGACACCAACATGATAAACATAACAGAAAATGATTGTGATATGACATACAAAGTTATTCAAATCTTTTAAGACAACATTAGACATTAACAAATTGTGAAAAGCCAATATAGGAAATAATGCAACAGAAGCAGTTCCAGAGACATAACTATGAATAAGATTCCCATTGTATTTGAATCATTGAATGCAACTGGAACATTAATAATCAAGCATGTTTAGACAAAATACTTCTGAAGTTGCATTTGACAGTATGAATATAGAAGTAAAGCTATGAATTCAAATGAAAGAAGCTACCAAAGAATATAATTATCAACACCGATTTATGATACCCCTTCCAACCAGCATTGGCTCACAAACAACAGCGAAAGAGAAAAGCTAAACAACATGTTAACGATTAGAACCAGAGAACCTGAAACCCCGACGTCCATCCCTCTTATATGGTGCATCACGGTAGGAATACCGTTGGGTACGGATCTTGCGATCCATTGGGCTTCTGCTTCTGCTCCGGCTTCTGCTTCTGCTTCGACTTTCTGGTCTCATATTCAAAACTCTTACAGTTAATTAACCACAAACAACCTGCAAAAATACCACCACACCACACCAGCTGCTGCCTCCTCCAGTCCTCCCTGTCCACCACAACCACACACCCAAGACCACATGAATGAGTCCTTACAACACTTTTAATCCCCACCATTTCAAAACTAAATCCCAACAACCTCTGATAAATCAAGGTAATAAACACCAACATATGCTAACTCAAGTAAACCACATCCCAAGCCAAACTACAATCTCTTTCAACATAGCAGATGCCAATGGGCATCCACTCCCTGACATCTCATCTCACAAGAACTCCAACTTCATACTTAAATGGGGAGAGAGTATTTAGCCAAAATAAAAGCTACAGCCATGATATGGAAATTACTCCCTCCGTCCAAATAAGACTTTCGCAGTTTCGCCTGGCATTTTGGCACAAAAATTCTTCAGATATCAAAATTCTTTTAATGAGTATTAGATGATATATATACCTGAAATGTCATTTAAGTGATTGAAAGTGAGCACCGACATCTTGTCACTTTTTATGATGGAAGATCAGAATAGAACAAGTAAAAAATTTAGTAAGTTTTTTAAGTTAATGGGACATCTCGAAACAAAAAGTGAGAAACCCCCAGTTTAATAAGAAATTCAAAAAATCAGATTTTATATCCTCAACCATGGACCTCACTTCTTCCCCCGCATCAAGCTGCTTCTTAGAAATGCAATGCAACATGCATCCCCAGTCAAACTGCTAGCTTCCTAGACCTTCCACACCATATAATCATGAACAAAAATGCCAGAGCATAACTGTCATCTTTCTAGCCACATCCTTGACTGTATAATTGAAATTGCTAATGTATCCATGAGTCCAGTGCAACCCAGATCTTCAATAACTTCAACGAGTTTACTGTGTTTAGTTTTTTAGGGTTTGCTTATGAAGCTCTAGTCTTGGGTTAAGGATAAACATTTTTATCTACTTGGGTTGCATCCATGTTTTCAACCTAGATGAGGAGGCAGAATGCAAAGGCAATTGGTCCCTAGGTTGCCCAGTCAAATTGGTTCAAGTGATTGATACGACCAGATGACATTATCTCATGTAATTTGTACACCTATGGTCCAGAGATTATTGCAATTGACCTCCTTGGTAATGAGATTTATTCTTATTGATATTTCTCTGCCTGAAATTTCAATCGCCCCCATCTCGCCTACAAGCACTCAGTGGCAGTGAAAAACAATGGCATCTAAGATTAATTCCACACCAACAGCAAACTTTCCATGGTACATATTTCCCACCAGGAGCAGAACCAACTGTCCAAGCTCCTAACCGTATTCCACCCTGGATGTTTGACTCTATGCTATGTTTAGCTGAGTCACCACAAAAAAAAAAAAAAAAAAAAAAAAAAAAAAAACTCCTTCGATTTGCATGAGGTGAAAGAGAATGCATATCTGATCTCTTAACAGAATATAGATTCTAGAATTTGGCTGCTACTATTACAGCGCCATTAGCAAACACTAAACAAGATGTACATGACTAAGAAAACTGAAGGAGGCATGAAACTGGTTTGGATATGGTATTGGCATGATGATTTGAACATGCGGAGATGCGCTTGGATACTGGCTTGATACATGTTTATCCAGCTGTCGCTGGCTTCAAATAAAGTTGCTTTTCTATGCACTTAGACATGAGACACCGCACACTGGTGGGTCTAGTGTAGGTTGCAAAACATTGGAGCATCACCTTCACACTTTGAATAGAATCTTTTACTGATGAAAAGAATAGCATAACCAAAATTATCATCTTACTGCTTTTTGAAATAACTTCTAAGTTCTAACAGATTCCTAAGCTATACTCTGCTGACTTATTGCATTTTTCTTTCTTTCTAAATTGAATATCCCAATTCTAGCCTTCGTGAACTTAAGACATACTACTGGGAGCGGGATAAAAAGGCTCAAGTTTAGCCCTCCTTCAATATCGGACTAACTGCCATCGACATTTTCTTTTGAAATTCAAATAATCGTGAAATAATAATCAGCAAAATAACATATACCAAGTGTGTGAATCAAATCTTAGGCTAGACAACTAAACAGAACCATAAAAACTCATAAGAACCACATAAAATAGCGTTCAGCCCTTGATGCCAAGTTAGCCATATTAATGCAGACATCGATACCTAGAATCAAGGAAAAAAAACACAGACACATACAAATTTGTCCGAGTAAAAGCTTACGTTAGGGAAGTCAACAGCACCATCAAAAGATTCAAATCAAATACGGAGTAAACATGTTTCAAGCCTGTAAAAGCTGAAATCCTAATCACCATTTTAAAGCAGACTTATTAATTGTCCAGGTTTAAAATAATATTAAATTAAATAATGGAACAAATAGCATACACAAATCCTCAGTCGCTGAGATGTGCGAAGCAAGCCAATACCTAATAGTAAATCTGACATAAGAACTGTACGACGGGAAAGAGGATAATCGTTAAGACATAGAGATAGTGACCTGAAACTTAATCCGGTATGGAAAGACAGTCGATCCGGCGGTATATGTCTCTCCGGAACTAGCTGGTCGAGATAAGAGGAGCAATCCGCCTCGTTGCACGAGGTACCGATTATTTCTGTAAATCTGTGATAGAGAGACGCTGCTGCTGTTGTAGGTACTAGGTAGTTCTGTAAGAACATCAAAGATTTCTCATTTCGATGGCATTGGAGTGGATCAGACATTATGGGCCCATTCATTATGAGCCCAATTTCAATAAGAAACGGTCATCAAAATAATACAGGCGTTATATCGTGGATCATGGTCCACAAAGCTTTGTGGACCATGATCCAAAAAGGGCACTGTTTTTTTAAGTAAATAAATTGCTGTCATTACATCTTATCGAGGTCTAGCTTTGTGAATCATGATTCAAAAACGGCACTGTTTTTTTAAGTAAAGAAACAGCTATCGTTACGTCTTATCGGGGTCCATATATTTTGTGTGTTAATTAATTCTAAAATGAACAGCTGTCGTTACATCTTATCGTCACCTGTTGAAATTAATATCTTATCGGGGTCTGTATTTGTTGTGTGTTAATTAATTCTAAAATGAACGGCTGTCGTTACATCTTAAAAATGAACGGCGGATGTCGTTACATCTCGTCACCTGTTGAAGCACGTGACCTCTCAATATGAGAGAGTCACTACGTGCCATCTAAGCACAAAATGTTTAGCTTATTTTTTTATATTATCAAATGAAATTGTAATTGAAATGAAATGAAACGGTATGTGTGTTGAAATGAAATTGCAGTGTATAAAAATGAAACTGAATAACAGTTTAACATATTTGAGTATATATTGTGTAATGAAACCGTAGTTATATCGAAATGATAATGTAGTTGTGTTGTAATTAAACTATAGTGTATATAAAATGAAACTGAATAACAGTTTCAAATATTTGAGTGTATAATGTCCAATGAAACTATAGTTATATCGAAATGAAACTGCAGTGTATATAAAATGAAACTAAATATGTTATACAAACAGAGCTACTTTACGCGAAACGGGTGCCGTTTATTTTCATTAAAAGAAACAGTATCGTTTTGGGCCATGGTCAACAATGCTTTGTGGGTCATGGTCCAATGTATAATTTGCCCAAAATAATAATGGAATGTGTTGCACGAAACTCCGTGAAAAATAACCCTTACAGCCCGTTTGGTTCGCTAGAAAATATTTGAAGGAAATATAATTGAAATTGTATGGAAAATAAATTATAGGAAAATGTGTTTGGTTGTGGAAATGAAATTACTGAGAATATAAATACCATTATTTTGTTGGATTTGGAATGGTAAGGAATAATGAGTATAAAGACCATTATACTCCTACACAATAATAACGACAATAATAATAATGGTAATTAAAAAAATTTGACGAGGGCATAATTGTCCTTATTGTTTTCAATGAAAAACATTTTTCATGAAAAATAAAATACTAAGTGAGATAAGGAAAATGTTTTCCATCCAACAAAACAAAAAAAAATTGAGTTTTCCTCAAATTTAAGGAAAATATTTTCCATAAAAAACAGTCCACCATATTAAAATTAAAATTTAAAACTACTCGTTTATGATTAGGGTCCACGGTATAGTGGTTGACACAATATAGTACAACCCTATATAAAGGGCAAATTATGCTGTGCATCCGTATGCACCATCCATGGTGCATACGGACGCAAAAACGACGTCGTTTTAATAAAATGTGCGTCTCCTCTTAAAAAAAAAATCAGGTTCGATTCCCAACAACAACATATGAACTAAAATTCCATAATCGATGAACTATAATTCCATAATCGATGAACTATAATTCCATAATCGATGAACTATAATTCCAGAATCTAATCTATGAACTAAAAATTTCAGAATGAATGAACTAAAATTCCATAATCTATGAACTAAAATTTCAGAATCGATAAACTACAATTCCAGAATTGATGAACTATAATTCCATAATCAATGAACTATAATTCCATAATCTATGAACTAAAATTCCAGAATGAATAAACAATATAATGTTGTTGCTGGGAATCGAACCTGAATTTTTTTTAAAGGGGAGACGCGCGTTTTTTAATAAAACGACGTCGTTTTGACATCCGGATGCACCATGCATGGTGCATACAGATGCACAGCATAACTATCCTATATAAAGAATCATACTTAAAAGAAATATTTATAACAAATATAATAGATTTGCCATAGACTAATAAAGCCCGGCCCTTTTAGTTAACGGAATATAGTTTTATTTACTCCGTAATTGTTTTTTCTCACGGACGAAATCACGAAACTCCAATTGTAGACTCATACGAAAACGGCACCGCTCCGAAAGAAACCCCCGTTTATTCACATCGCAGCTGTAGCTTAAAGGCAATCGAATTCATTTCATCACACAAAGCCTCCAGAAAAATGAATACAAAACAAATCACGCATGTGTATGTGTAATCTTCCTTATATATGCACAAGAACAAGACCTAGGGTTAGGGTTTTGAATCGATTTTTGCCATGGCCGACGGCGAAGTGACTGTATCCAATGTAGATAAACCCTTGCTCGAGGAGGTAAACGGTGGGGATGACCTCACTGAAACAGAGCAATGCGTGTCCCTTCCGGAATCGAAGGTTCTCAACGAAGCCAGTACCGAGTCACCGGGAATTCAAGATGCATCGACTGCGGAGACCAAGATGAAGACGGAGGCAGAAGGTGGAGAGGACGCCGTTGTCGATACGATTGATTCGCGCAACGAGGCGGGAGCTGGAGAGGAGACTGTTGTTCATACGATTGATTCTCGTAACGAGGCGGGAGCTAGAGAGGAGACTGTTGTTGATACGATTGATTCGCGTAACGAGGCGGGAGGTGGAGAGGAGAATGTTGTTGGTATGAGTGATTCGCTCAAAGAGCCGGGAGTTGTAGAAGAGACTGTTGATACGAGTGATTCGCGTAAAGAGGCAGGGGCTGGAGAGGAGACTGTTGTTGATACGAGTGATTCCCGTAAAGAGGCAGGAGGTGGAGAAAAGACCGTTCTTGATACAAATGATTCGCGTAAAGAGGCAGGGGTGGATGGAGAGGAGACTGTTGCTTGTACGAGTGATTCTCATAACGAGGCGGGAGGTGGGGAGGAGACTGTTGTTGATATGAACAATTCGCATGTTGCTGAAGTGGCTCCGGTTTTGATCTCAGACGCCGAGATGGAAGCTAAGGCTAATGAGCAGACTGAAATGGCGGCTGTGAGGGAGTTGGAGCTAGATGGGGGAGATGAGACCGTTGTTGATATGGGACAATCGCATACAGAATTGGTCCCAAAGGCTGCTCCGGTTTTGGAGTTGGTCCAATTCGACATAAAACCTGGGTTGGATATTGAGTTTGAAGCACCAATTGCTGTTGCTGTTACAGAACGTTCTCAGCTGGATGATCATCATTCAGAAGCAGTAGATGCAATGGAGGCAGAGATTCCAACTGGAGAAGCTAACAGAGAGTTGGAAATAGATGGAGAGAACACAACAAAGATAGAGGAAGATGCTGCTGCTTCAATTCCAACTTCAGAAGCTAATAGAGAAATGGAAACAGATGGACAAGATACAATGAAGGCTGAAGATAATGATACTGATTCAATTCCACCTACAGAAGCTAATAGAGAAATGGAAACAGATAAAATGGACATAACAAAGGCTGAAGATGGTGAAGCTTCTTCAGTTCCAACTGGGGAAGCTAATAGAAAACTGGAAACAGATAAAAAGGACATAACAAAGGCTGAAGATGGTGAATCTGTTTCAATTCCATCTGGGGAATCTAATAGAGAATTGGAATCAGATGGAGATGAGGTAATGAAGACTGAAGATGATGAAGCTGCTTCAGTTCCAACTGGGGAAGCTAATAGAGAATTGGAAACAGATGGAGATGATGTAATGAAGGCTGAAGATGTTGAAGCTGCTTCAATTTCAACTGAGGAAGCTAATGGGGAATTGGTAGCAGATGAAGAGGATATAATGAAGGCAGAAGATGGTGAAACTGCTTCAATGTTAGAGGACTCACAAGAAGATCCTCAGTATGGGGAAAATGAGGTAATGACTGCTGAGGAGACTGCTGCTGCAGATACTGAAGTTGAGACTGAAACTGATGCAGCAGATTCGGGTAGAGGTGCTGGGGGAAAGCGGAAAAGAGGGAAGAATTCTAAGAGCCCTGCTTCTTCTAAGGCTGCTACAAGAACTCCGTCAAGGAAAGTGACAGAAGAGGATGTTTGCTTCATTTGCTTTGATGGTGGGGATCTTGTGCTTTGTGACCGTCGGTGAGTTTGACATATCATGGATTATATCTCTGTGGTTCATAAATAATTTATTTGTTGTTGATTTTATGCTTTCCATGTTCTACTAGTGGTTGCCCAAAAGCATATCATCCTTCTTGTGTTAATCGTGATGAAGCATTTTTTCGGGCAAAGGGCAGATGGAATTGTGGTAAGTGCTTTGACATATCATGGATTATATCTTTATTTTAGAATAATTTTATTACAGTTTTTTCATTTTTATTATTTTCAGTGAACTAGTCAATTAGATGTTTTCTTCCATTGTGATGTTCTACTGTGTTTTTATCCTTTTACTTATAATGAAAAAAGTAGTTCTACTATGTTTTTGAGAAATAATTGTCCTTTGTGCTACCTTCCTTTGAATACTATGCATCACCCTTCCACTTTGTTTCAGGATGGCATCTATGTAGCATTTGTGAGAAGAATGCAAATTACATGTGTTATACCTGCACCTATTCACTATGCAAGGGGTGCATAAAAAGTGCTGTTATTTTATGCATTAGAGGAAACAAAGGCTTTTGTGAAAACTGTATGAGAACTGTCAAGCTTATTGAAAGCAAGCAGCAGGGAGACAAAGATGTATGTTTTTCTAATCCCTAGATCTCTTTCCTGGGTGTTCTACTAAAGTGGATCACCTTGTTTCCAGGGCATGGTCATTGATTGTTTTTGTGTGTGTGGTGTGTGGATTGTATGCGCAACATGATTTATGAATTATGATCATTTATGCTGTTCTTCTAAGTTCTAACACCATTAATGACTCCTGCTGTAATAGACTCTATCTTTGACTGCCAAGAATGTTGAAAATTTAATGTTGGGCAATATTTGCTCCCTTATATTAATTGGAATATGGGCATACATAATGTTTTTTCTTATAAAAATCACCAAAGACTTGATACATTTGCATAGTCATTAAACCAAAGGAAATAATGTTTGTTCATTCCGTGTTAACATTTATAGTATAAGTTAAAACTGATTTCTGAATGTCCTAGGGGGTGGTGAAATGTAAAATTCATGCCCTAGTTGATGAGACTCGCTTTAGTTGCATGTAATTTCGATATACTTTGGTTTTCTGCCTAAATATACAGTTATTTGATTAACTAATAGGAGTAATAGCACCACCCGTTTACATGTTCAAACAACTTAAATTATGTATCTTAAATGCTCATTTGGTTTAGGAGTCAGACTTAATGTGATTTTGCAATTTGGAAAGGCACCACCTCAAAGACTCAATTGTTCTGGTTATTTTTATTTTCAGGTTCTTTGCCCTCAATTGATTTTGTGACTTTAGTACTCAATAGTCAATAATCATCTGATACCTTTATATTCTTTCAGGCACAAATAGATTTTGATGACAAAAGTAGTTGGGAGTATCTCTTCAAGGACTACTACATGGATTTGAAAGAGAGGCTGTCTTTGTCTTCAGCTGAAATAGCGGAGGCCAAAAGTCCATGGAAGGGATCTGATGTGTCTGGAAATAGACAACAGCAATCTGAACCACAGTTTGATAATAATGAAGAGGGAGGTTCTGGTTCTGACAATTCTGGTGAGAAGGTTGAAGTCAATAAATTAAAAAGAAGAAAGGTTACAAAAAAATCAAAGTCCCTTTTAAAAGAAGATGGTATGGCCAGTATGTCTGTAATAGCTGGAAGTGAAGGTGCATCTACACCTAGCAACACTGAATGGGCATCAAAAGAGCTGCTTGACTTTGTTAAGCACATGAAAAATGGTGACACATCTGTTCTTTCTCAATTTGATGTGCAGGATTTGTTGCTGAAATATATCCAAATGAACAAACTTCGTATTCCAAATAAAAAGAGTCAAATCATGTGTGATTCAAGACTTCAAAGCCTCTTTGGAAAACCACGTGTTGGGCATTTTGAAATGTTAAAATTACTTGAGTCTCACTTTCTTATAAAGGAGGATACTCATATTGATGATGCCCAGGGTACTGTAGTTGATACTGAGGTTGAGGGTGATGAGAACCGGGACACACTTATGAAGGAAGTCAAAGATAAGAAACGCAAGCGTAAAAAAGGCCACAGTCGGGGCCCACAATCTAATCTTGATGATTATGCAGCTATTGATATGCACAACATTGGCTTAATCTACCTTCGACGGAAGTTAATGGAGGACTTGCTAGAAGATGTGGAGAAGTTTCAGGACAAAGTTGTTGGTACCTTTGTGAGAATAAGAATCTCTGGTAATAACCAAAAGCAAGATCTGTACAGACTGGTTCAAGTCATGGGTAATTACTGTGAACCTACAAAGTTTTGGTTTTCACTTAATTTTCATTTTATGATGTGCTATACTTGAGACTCTTCCTCTCATTTTTTGCTTTAGAAGTAAGTTTTTGGTTGTAGCTGATCCCAATTAGATTCAATTAAGTCAGTTGAGCTAAGTAGACTTGGTTGCAGGTATGAGCAAAGCTTCTGAGCCATATAAAGTTGGCAAAAGAACAACTGATATCCTCCTTGAGATCTTGAATTTGAACAAGACTGAGGTCATATCAATTGATACAATCTCAAATCAAGACTTCACTGAGGTGATTCAATAATTTACATACTATTTTACTTGATCCATATGTACTATCAATAAGGCTGAGTTTTTTTTTTTGTTTTTTTTGTTTTTGTTTTTTTGGGTTTATTTGTTTGTGTGTGTGTGTTTGAGTTATTATATCGAAAGCACCATGGGGGTGCAACCCAAGTACATGTAGATGCATTTACAAAAGAATAATCATCTATTAATCCTATTAACAATTTAACCCAATCAAGAATAAATGCAATTAGTAATAGAAGCTGGTACGCAGTTCGTTCTGTAGCAATACCTGGAAGGTAATAGACTGTATCTAAATGGAAACACCTTCTTTACTGGTTCCTTTGATTTCTGGATCAACTGTACTTTTCACCTGGTTTCATTGAATCTTCAAGATTCTTCATTTTTTCTGTTGCTTTTAGGTTCCATACCCACTCTGTTCCAGAGGTGTAACTGAGAATTGGTAATATTAAACAAACAAATGTAAAATATGTTATTAATCATTTAGTTGGTGGGCTTACATCTACGTTTTGTTTATATACAGGCGCTTCTAATATTCATGTATTGGTCATCATAATCATCCAAGCCATGTTGCTATTTACGATTTATTTGTATTTGACTCCCCAATATATATTTCTTAGTTTTTTGTTAACAAAAAGTTGCGTTGACTTTGTCAGGATGAATGCAAGCGTTTACGACAAAGTATCAAATGTGGACTTATTAATAGGCCAACTGTGGTAAGAAATGTGCATAGAATCATTTTCATGATTTTGCTTCAATCATGCATAATTTGTCATTTGTTCATGAGTTACTCACTTTCAGGGTGTCATTCTTGACAAGGCCATGGAAATACATGAAGCAAGGGTCAATGATGTAAGTTTATTCATGTGATCTATTTAGAATTTGATTTTTGCTGTGTATGATAATACTGTGATTCTTGTGCTTTGTCAGCTTCCTCATAATGTACTTGTATAACTAGTGAATATGTCCACTATAGTCTTGTACGAAGTTGGAACTTTAATGGTAGTGTGAGTCATATTTTCTTCAATGATGTGTAATCCTGAGGGCGACACTCATAAAAGGATTTCACAGATATTTGATGTGTCTAACTTGAATTTCATCAAAGTGAGGAACGATGAAGGTCCAGCATTAAAAGCTCCTACCTTTTCCTCAGTTTAAATGCATTCTTGTTGGGCTCAAATTGAACTACTTTGTTTTCTGTATTTGGTGTCTTATAGTACTATATACTATAATTTTTTCATACCATGTGTATTCATTTGTTTGCACTACAGTGGTTGGAATCAGAGGTCCTGCGGCTTAGTCATCTTCGTGATCGAGCAAGTGAAAAAGGGCGTCGGAAGGAATATCCTTTTTTGACGAAATGCTAATGTACTATTTTCATGTAAATTCCATGCAAGTTCTGTTTGTTCTGCATTCTTTTGTCCAGATAGATAAATTTATAATTTATCATTGTGCATATCTTGTGACCTTAATTGTTCTTACACTTTAGTGATCTGTGTCTCTTCATGTTGAGCAAGAAAGTATTCAGCTGGATTGACTGTAAAACAAGTTGTTACTTGTTGGTGAATTTCTTCCTTTTTTCTACATAATAGTAACATCTCCTGGATCAAAGCTATTTTGATATTGTTTATAATAATGCTCTGCTTTTGTCATCTCAACATTAATATTCATGGAGGTCCCCCTCTCTCCCACCAAAGGGTTTCTTAAACCCCTTCTGTCCAAGTAATCCTTAACTAATGCTTACACTTAGAGAATGTGTGGAGAAATTAGAGCTATTGAAAACACCTGAGGAGCGTCAGCGAAGACTTGATGAAATTCCGGAAATACATGCAGATCCAAACATGGATCCGAGTTATGAGTCTGAAGATGATGACAGTGTTACTGATGAAAATAGACGAGGTTGTGATTCTTCATTTTCATCATCCTTATTTTTTCAAATGTTGTGTCCACATGCTCCACAAGTCCATTATTAATTTGTCGCTCCAAATATTTCTTTGCTTGTGCAGATACTTATATGAGGTCCAGAGATTCAAGCTTTAGCAGGAGAGGAAGAGAGCCAATTTCTCCTCGAAGCAACTATTCTTCCAAAGATCCATGGGGTAGTGGAGGTAAAACGCCAACTAGAAGTTGGGAATTGGATAGGAATTTGTCCAGTAAAAATACATTGGTCAAGGCTGAGGATAGTACACATAATAGTGAGATGGTTAATGAAAATTCATGGGGTCTAGGGAGAGATAGAGACCAAGAGTCTAGAAGTCTGGAGAAGGTGAATTCAACTACTAATTCTGAGACAATTGGAAGGAAAGGGAACTCCCTTTCAAGACCTGAAATGGCTTCTGGTGTGGCATCAATGACTTCTACAGTTACTCCCACAGCAAAGTCATCAGATACTGGCATCAAAATTAATGAAACAGAAAAAATATGGCATTACAAGGATCCCTCAGGAAAAATTCAGGGGCCATTTTCTATGGTCCAGCTACGTAAATGGAACAACACAGGATACTTCCCTGCCAATCTGAGAATATGGAGATCTACAGAAAAGCAAGATGACTCTATTCTTCTGACTGATGCATTGGCTGGAAGATTTCTGAAAGAGTCATCAGTGACTGAGCATAGAAATTTGGCAGGTGGTGTTCTGCAAAATAGAGAGGCAGAGAGACTAAATCTTGATCAGAATCGTGCATCTCAGAATTCACCTAGTGGTTTGGTTTCGTCTAGAGGTGGAATGATTTCTGGTGAGATGTCTGGAGTTCCTAAAGAAAAGTGGGATGGTAACGATTCATCGAACCTTCCTTCTCCTACTCCAAAACAAGGTAATTCAGGCTGGACTGGAGATGCTGTTCCTGTAACGGCTGCAACTTCATATCCTGTTGATAATGGAATCTCTGAACCATCTCGTTTAGTGTTACCAGCTAACGTGTCTTCTCTCTTGGCTTCAGCTGTGAATGCCAGTGGACATTCATTAATGAGATCTGAAAATGTTTCTTCAAATTCTGGTGCTGGTTTTAGTCCAATGACAAATACTGCAAATCCTCAGAGTTCACAATTGACTGCAGTTAGTGAACCACCTCAAATGATAGTCCATAGCCAACATGCTACAGCTACACAAGATGCAAATGTCCACCCAGTTCAGTCTATAAATAATATTCAGAACCCAAACCTCGATCCTCATGCTTTGGGTGTTGGTCAAACTCTGAAGGCAGAACCAAACATTTCTGTCCCTACTCCAGCGCAGCCCCAGGGGTATGGCAATTGGGGTGGCATTACCTCTGCTGTTCAAAATCTTGCTGCAAGTTTCTCAAATACAGGTGCCTTACCCTTGCCTCAATCTGAGTTTTGGAGGCCTCAGAGTCAGGCTAACCAACCCAACATTCAACTTCCAAGTGTGCCTAGCTTTCCGTGGGGCGCAGGGATTCCACAGAATAGTCCTGCCCCTGCCAATTTAAATGCTGTCTGGGGAACAATGCAGCAGGGAAATCCAAACATGGGGTGGAGTGGACCAGCACCCGGAACTATGAATATGAATTGGGGAGCTCCAGTTCAAACAATGGCTCCACCTAATCCAGGATGGGTTATGCCCCCCGGACCAATGCCTGGAAACATGAATCCAGGGTGGGTTGCACCAACAGCGGGTAATCCAGGCGTTCAAGGTATGGCTCCTGGTAATCCAAATCCAGGTTGGGTTGCCCCAACGGTTTCAGGTCCAAGAGACAACGGTTCCCAGGGTGGAGATACTGGCTTCAATGATGGAAGGCCTTGGAATAGACAGTCATCATTTGGCAGTGGAGGCCATGGAGGTGGTCCTAGAGGTAATTTTTTGAGAAGTCAAAAGCCTTGCCCCTACAATACGAATGGTCGGTGTAGGAAAGGGGCCCGCTGTGATTATCTTCATATCTAATAAGGAGTTTAATAGAGTTTCAGGCCAATAGATGATTCTGTACAGTAATATTATTTAGCTTTTCTTTACTATAGGCCATTTTGAGGTTTCAATTTGTAAAACCTGAGCAGATTAGGGGCACACTCTTTTGACGCCTATTTATTTCCTGCAAAACATTTGTTGCCGACATTATGTTGTTTTGATCAATAAGCTTCCAAAGCATACTGGATGTCCACCTATCCAGTGCCTGACGCTGCAAAATGCAGGTTCTGAAGGAACGCCAACGAGCTTCTGGTTAAAGGGCCTTTTATTTATTTATTCATTTATTTATTTTTACACTATCGATCTCCTGCAGCTCATTTGTCGAACATGGACAAATTATGTTGTGGACCATGGTTACATTGTGTGAATTATAACAAAAAGTACATTTTTAATATACTAAAAATACATTATTTGATAGTATGGTCCACACAATAATAATTGGTGAACATGCATGTAGCCAAGGAGAGGAGGCTGCTTAATCTTGGATTTTGACATAAGTTCCAATGCTTTGGCCTTTTTTTTTGGCTATAGTTGTAACTTTGCGAGCTTGCTTGATTGGAATGCATGGACTTTTGATTATATTTTGAACAAATGTCAAACTCTTAGGTGTGTTTAGTTCGCACATGAGAATTAGAATTTGAATGAGTATCAACTTCTATGTACTTGATAATGGTAATGGATTTTAGTGAAAGTATTTTGCATGTTTGGTAGTGGTGGAATGAGAATGATTATCAATAATGTTGTTTGGTTTAAAAATATAAAACCTAAAATACTAATCAAAAGGGATGAGAAGAAACACGGGAATGAAATGGGATGACACTCTAATTTTATTTAGGTATAGGTTTTTTAATTAAGGAGGTATTTAAAACTCATAGTAAAGTTCTAAAAATCTATCAATCAAACAATACCAATCAAAATGATACTCATTCCTTAGAGCTAAACCTATCAACTAAACATACCTTACAGTTCATACTTCTCTGGGCTACGAGTTGATTGACACTGATTTCCAATTGTATGCTTTGCGCTTTGGTTTTGAATCTTAAGAACCTCAGGTGTTTTTATTTAATATTATTAATATCTTCGACTACATCAATCACCTTGCACTATACATAAAAAATAAAAATAAAAAATACTCCATATAAAAAGTGTGAGAACACTTGATGACGTGAGCTAATGTAGCTGTGGATCACGTTAAAATACATTTTGCTTCCTGCACCGCCTTCTTTTAAACTACGCACTGATCAAAGGCAAGCAATCAATTAATCCTGCGGTTTTAGAACTAATAAAGATGTGAGAACCTCCTTCCAAAATAATAATAATAATAATAATAATAATAATAATAATAATAATAATAATAATAATAATAAAAAAGATATAAGAACCAAATATATTTGTAAAGAAATATATATATATATATATATATATATATATATATATATATATATATATATATATATATATATATATATATATATATATATATATATATATATATATATATATATATAGTGCAGTTAATTGGCTTCAAATGAAACTTACATATATAATGAGGTGAGTTCTTAGAAGGATATCCAAGAAAAATAGCCAGAATAATGATAAAGAAGACAACCATCTGCAACAATTAAATTCAGCCTAATTAAGAAAATTGCTCATCACTGCAATTAAATTCATAGCCATATATATAATCATAATCATAATTCAAAAACACGCACCAAAGCAGAAGTATAATTAGGCTCCGACCTCACAATGTAAGATTTCCTGGTCATGTCGAGACCGAGAGAAATTTTTAATATAATTTATATGATTGAGGACAAGACAGGTAAAATGGAATAAAAATAAAATGCTAATAATTACCTACCTGTTGTTTAGGGCTCCAGACTCCCTACAAGTCTTCATAATTATTTCAAGCCTCTCCAAAGTCTTGGAAGCATTTGGATCATCGATGTCAACCTATATATAAGAGGAATTCAATTAACAACACACACACACGATATATGATATGCATGTATATATGTTCACTATATACTACGTACACTTGCTAAATATGAAAATCATGCATGTTTGCATATATACCTTTGACTTTAACATACAAGAAAAATCATAAAAAATGCCATAGACATCTTCCATTGTCCTAGTACGGTCAATTATCTTAGCAGCAAGACCTAGAAAACATACATTGACTGATTAATATAATATCAGAGATTCAGAGCTAGAAAGATGCAGATTCTGCATTACCCACCATGCCTTATCTGCACAACACCCCTGAAGACTCCAATGTTGTTGTAGCACATGACTAATGTCCCCATGGACATTACCTGCATCATATCGGATCGGAGGTGCATATATATATATATATATATATATATATATATATATATATATATATATATATATATATATATATATATATATATATATATATATAAACCAAATTAATTAATGTTGTTAGTTGTGTATGTGAAACTGCGGACATGCATGCGCGCAATGCAATATAATGATCAGAATTGAAGAAACCTCAGCTCAGGTTGAAATTTGAAACATGCCTGTGGAATAGCGCAAAACATAAGGATAGAAGGATTATGTCGGAAAGCACACATGTAAGTCAAACAATCTTCCACATGTGATAAAGCATTTGTAACCATTTCATTCAGACATTGTACTGCCTTCACTGAGTTCTCCTCATATTTCAACTCCTACATATACATGCATGCACCGTACAATATATATAAATAATAATATAATGCTGGCAACTAACTAACTCATGAAATAATTAAGCTAATTAAATTCCATAAGATAAACCTCAAGTTTGTCGTTGACGTATTTACTCCAAATCTGGCGGGGCCAAAACATTCGACACTTGGGTATCTCATTAATATCCCCCAGATAATCTCTAATGATGTTTGTTTTCTGAAAAATATATAGAAGTGAAACCTCAAACAATTTTTTTTTTTTTTTTTTAAACGTGATTTTTAAGGATAGCTGATGACGTCCTGACGATATGATATATATGATGATGAGAGCTATAGGTTTGATCGAATTAAATGATAACCTGAAGGAACAGACCCACAGAATTGGAGAGAGAATCTGAAGCCAAATCTTCTTTACACGAGATATGAAAAAGCTTTGACAAGCCTAGTCCGACAAGCCCAGCAACATAATGACAATATTCATCGTAATCATCAATTGTTTCAACCTGCTGCAATATATATAATGCACCAGATCGAGGGAATAACTAACTGAATTGAATATATATGTATATCTGTGTGTATTATACGTAATGTACCTCCTTGCGTATAAACTTTGCCATCCCTCTACCCATCCTCATGGCAATATCCTCAATTGCTTCCTGATAACTGCAATTATTACATGTATACTACATCACTTTCAAGCATTATTAGTACAAGAAAACATGAACATTTAATTTTTTTTTTTTTTAAAGTTAGATTATTTAAATAAAACAAGACTGGATATGGTAGAAACTTACTTTTTCCCGAGTTCTAGAAAAGCAGTGGAAACATAATGAAATTGGTCCATGAGAACTTTATAAGCATTTGTACCACCTGACAAAAGGAGTCATATATAACTCCTCATAACTTGTTTAAATATAATTAAAGTAAGCATTGAACTGAACTACTAACATGAGAAATTCCATTTGCTGTCATATATGTGACGATGAAAATCCATGAGAACAGGCACTTTAACCTCTGTGGCTATGCTCGTATCATCCTCTGTTGACAAGGGAAAAACACAGACAATTTTGTACAAGAATGCTCAGCTCAGCTCGCTGGCCGGGAAATTTTGCTATATTATTATATTATACTCTTCGCAAGGAATTTCATAAACATATATAAAACTGTAACAAACATACCGACAGTGTCAAGTGCTCGAAGAATCAAATAGAAAACGCAAACCTGCAAAGGCGAATTCGTAATAGTGTATCCTACAAAAACAATACTACGTACCGTAACTACTGTACGTACGTACCAATGTTGCCGGTAAAAAAACATATATAGGAATATTAAACTTACGGCTTCACGAAGGTCATTAGGGAGCAGCAGGATAGCGAGCGTGAAGCTTCTAGAGACCTTACTGAGAATGGTGTAGCAGAATCTCCAGTGCGGCTGCGCCGCCGCCGGGATCTGCTTCTTCACCCGCCTCGTTGCCATTGTCAGCTTTATCAGAAGGTACACATCCTCCGGATGCTTCAACATCGCCCACACTCTCTCCATTATATTTTGGTTAACTCTACGTACTGTTTCACCAAAATGAAAATTCTTTAATTTTTGAATCCAGCCCAACCAACACCTTAATCACTACAAACTTTTAATTTACGGGATAATACATATATACGTACTCCAATTATATATATAATTAAGAGACAGATTCGAATCCGTGAGTACCTGTGAGAGCTGAGTGTACCGTGATGGGAAGTTTGAGAGCGGAAAATATGAATGTATGTGTTGTATTAATTAAAGACAATTATGACAATGCTGATGGCTGATGCATATATGCTTTTATAGCTAGTTTTTTTTGAATATAATGCATGTAATAATAATATTATATTGCTGTACCCCCCGTAATTTTTAAAATGAAAATTTATTATTTAAAAACAATAAGTAGTACTTATTCTAACCTACATATTACACGCAAACTTGCTAATAAGTAACAAAAAGTATTATACGGAGTATTAACAATGTTTGGTTCAAAGTTATTTTTGAATCTTTTATACCCTATAATTATTTTATTTTAATACCTTCAATAATAATTATAACAATAAATTTATTCGAAAAAATCATAACAATAAATAAATGCATACTCCGTATTATTTAGTAGTAAAAAAAGAATTAAAATTCAAAGGACAATATACGGAAAATTGACAATCTTAAAAACCTTTCCTTTCAAAATCTATGTGATTCATGGGGAATATAATGTTGTATTCTGTACGAAAAATGATACTCGGTATAACTTGAAGCATGCATGAGAATATGACTTTTCAAAACTCGCATTCCGTTAGTAATGTTATATACCTAAACCAAACATTCCTTTAATATATAGTTATATATTATTTTAATTTGAACTCGTTACAAGCATTTTCACACCCAAAAAAAAAAAAAATCTTGTGTGTGTCCACAAATATAATGTGTCTTAGTAACCTGGGGTGTGGTTGAGTGGAAGGGACTCATCTATCCTTAACTAAATTAAAGATTAAAAGTTCGATCTTTGATTTTGGGTATGGAGCACCTTAAATTTCTACGCCAGTTGTCATACTCAAAAGAGGTGCATACAATCCAGCGAGGGGATTAGTTACTGTGTTCGACGGTGAAAACACTCAATAGTTATGCTGTGCAACCGTGTGCATCATGCATGGTGCACACGGTTGCAAAACGACGTCGTTTTGACTAAAAATTAAACATGCGTCCCATTTAAAAAAAAAAATCAGTTTCGATTCCCCTCAACAACATTATTGTTGATATATAGTTATTAATTTTTGTGGATATATAGTTATGAATTTGTGGATATATAGTTATGAATTTATGGATATTTAGTTCATTCATTGTGGATATTTTCTTCATTCGTTCTGGATTTTGTGTTATTCATTCACTGTGGATATATAGTTATGAATTTGTGAATATATAGTTATGAATTTGTGGATATATAATTCAAATTATGCACAAAAAATGCTATTGCCGGAAATTAAACTTGAATTTTTTTTATTTTTTTTAAAGTGAGACACGCGTTTTTAATCAAGACGACGTTGTTTTTGTAACCGTGTGCACTATACATGGTGCATACGGTTGCAAAACATAATTTGCGGAAAACACTGGGTACGCCCCACAAAAAACAAATGGGCCTTAGAGTCTTCTCTAAATCACGTTTTCTATCTGATCTACTGTAATAAAAGTTAAAATCTTGTTTCTGTGTTTGTAATTTTTTTATTTTTTTTGGGAGAGAGAGAATTGCGTTCAAATAAGAGTCACTCTCCTGGTGAGAACATACGAACTAATCTTGTGCGTTCATTGTTTTTATTTGAAGGGCCTAATTTGATTTCCTAAAATGACATAGATTTTATTTATTTATTTATTTTTTATGTGGGGGTGGTAGTGTCTTTTTCTTTTTAACTGCATATGTGACGATTTATTTTCTATTTTCTAGGATCATCATGATGATCACGGTTGCAAATTGGAGACTTGATTGCTACATCATCGATCGAGTGCTCGTCAATAGAAAGTGATTAGTGTTTTTTTTATTCAATTATTTTTTAGTATAATATTATCTATATTTGGATGTTGGTGTATATATACATATTTTGGGTAGTACGTGCATTCGGTTGTGTTGGTTGTGCAACCTAGTATTGTGAGTTGTGCATTGTAGGCTGATGAGATGTGCAAGTGCACTTAGTGTGATGCATCGTAAGACATTGGGATGTCAGTGATAGGATGTTGGGATGTGTTTGAATGCATAACCAGAAAGTTATCAATGCATGACATTCGGTATATGAATGCACAATATTCTATATAGGAATGCATGATCATAGCAATAATATGAATGCGTATGGGCCAAGCTAATAATCAAACCAGAAGTTAACGATGCACGACATTCTGGGCAAATTATGCCCTGGACCCGTGTCCACAATGAATTGTGGACACGGGCCCAAAACGACGTCGTTTTTCAAAAAAAAAAAAAAAACGCGTCATTTAGTTTTAAAAAAAAAAAATTACGCGTGTTTTGCCGTTAACAGCGTTATTTTTTTTGGATTATGAATGTACAGTTATGCCGTTATGAATGTACAGTTATGCAATTATGAAATTATGAACACAGAGCTCTAACATTATGAACATATAGTGATAAAATTATGACCATGGAGCTTTAAAATTGTGAATATAGAGCTTCGAAGATTATGAATGTACAGTTATGGAGTTATGAATGTACAATTATAGAGTTATGAATCTACAGTTATGTAGTTATGAATCTACAGTTATGAGATTATGAATCTACAGTTATGGAATTATGAATGTACAGTTATTGATCGAATTATGAACAAAGAGCTCTGACATTATGAACTTACAATTATGAACATATAGTGATAAAATTATGAACATAGAGCTCTAAAATTGTGAACATAGAGCTTCGAAAATTATGAATGTACAATTATGGAGTTATGAATGTACAGTTATGGAGTTATGAATGTACAGTTATGGAGTTATGAGTGTACAGTTATAGAGTTATGAACGTACAGTTATGGAGTTATGGAGTTATGAATGTACAGTTATTAACATATAGTAATAAAATTATGAACATATACTCCTATAACGAAGCGATCTGAAATTTTATAAAAAAATAAAAATAAAAATAAAATAAAATAAAAGGAGATAACAGTGCCTAACGGCATTGTTACCCGTGTCATGCTGAACACGGGTCCAACGCATAACGATTGGACATTCTATATAAAAATACACTACATTTTGTATAACAAAGCACGATATTATGTATAGAAATGCACCGCACAGGGCCTAGCAAATATCAACGGGTTCAATAGACTCGTTGAACAGTCATGTTGGACTCAACGGGTCTCTGATCTATTGAACCCGTTGGTCCAACAGGACTGCTCAACTATTCTATTGGACCCGTTGAACAAATCCGTTGGTCCAACGGGACTGGTCAACGGGCCTATTGAACCCGTTAACTAACCAAATTATCATTCGGAGCCCTTAATCCGCGCTAATTAGTACTTTACGATAACTTGCTCACAATCATAGATGTTCTAATTTCAATGGCCTAAATTAGACACCGAGGTAGTGGTTCTCACCTAAACGAGACACACACACATATATATATATATAAAGAATCCAGTTTATTTCTAGTACTTCTTTGCGTCAAATTAAAGTTGGAGTACGTCTAGGGTACGTTAAAATTTAAGAAAGAGGTTGCTAACTTGCTATTGCTACATTGTTTGTGTGTAAGGCTGTAAGAGAGGTTACGTGAGGGTATGTAGTAGAGTAGTAGACAGACAAGAGGAGTACTGAATACCAAAAAATACAAAACAAAAGGAAAATCCTTTTAGCTTGTGTTGCCCTTCCATGTATGTCGCGAGTAAAGACACAAAGGGTGTACGTTGTTTTAAGGAAGGTACTACTATACCCTAATAGTACTCTAATAGGTATGGTCGTATGGAGGAATTTTTATTTTTAAAAAAATATTTGCGAAGAAAACCAAAGTTAGTAGTTATGAGACTTGCACATTTTCATGATTGGGACATATATACATTTATTCAGAGCGTATTTAGAAATCAGAAAAATGACGCAAAAATGTTTTTTTTTTTTTTTTTTTTTTTTTTTGGAAAATGAGTCACTAATTATTAATATTATTATTATATAGTATATGCGTGTATAGTTTGGCTACATCAACCATCGGTCGTTAAGCATAAAAAAATATATAGAAATCATGAAAACGCTTGAGCTAAGAATGCTGTGAGTCATGACTCATGATCACACATTTTGCTTCTTGGAGTTCTTGCACAAACTACTGATCCAAGGCAACCAATCCTGCAATTTTGTAACTAAAGATATTAGAACCAAACATATCAATCTGAAAAGAAATATATATTGGTTGGTTTTAAATACAACTTACACACAGAATGAGGCCAGGCCAGGTGGGTCGATCAATTCTTCAAAGGATATCCAAGAAAAATAGCCAGAATAATGATAAAGAGAACAACCATCTGTAATTAAATTTGTAATTAACCAAATTAAAAAACGTTACACACGTCGCCACTTCAAATTGAATTATTTGTTATATTTAAACTAAAAGTTATATATATGACATTTTGATAAAATAGTTAGTCTATCAGTCAATTTTGGTTTGTTTGACCATTATTATTAGTTGTTTAACTTAGTTAAACAACCAATATGAGTGTTTGATTAATTAACTTTTTGTAACACCTTATTGCTCCAAAACACTACAATTCAAAAAGCTACTCAAATAAGTTTTTTCGATAAGCTTTTTGAGAAAGTTATTTTAATTTGTATGTAATTAGCTATCAGCTAACTAATTATATTTAGGAATAAAGGTCAAATAGGTCATCCAACTGCACACGATAATGCAATTAGGCCACTGAACCTAAAAACACAACAATTGAGACAAAGAAAAAAAACATCTCCGGCCATGGAGACGAAGAAACCTTCTTCATCTCTAGTCGGAGACCTTTTTTTTTTCTTTAATAATAATTTTTAAATAATAATTTTTAAAAAATATTTTAAATATGTGGTGTCTGAAAAACGTTTAAATTGGGCTAATTGCATGAAATTTGTTAGTTTAGGGACTCAATTGTTGTTCTTTTAAGTTCAGTGACCTAATTGTGTGTCGTTCGATAGACTATTTGACCCTTATTCCTTATATTTATCAAACATCTCACTACAATCGGCTAATACTATCAACTAGTACTCAAACCCATTAACTCAATCAACTGACAACTATTTACCAAACATACCCATAAATTTATTTACGTACATGCGGGTCGTAGTATAATAATGTCATAAACACACTCACCATCAGAATGTAATTAGGGTGGGAACTCAGAATGTAAGATTTCCTGCAGGTGGAACACATTTCATAAGCTTCAGCTCATGCCCATATATTTTGAATTTGTTAGGTTAGAATGAAATGTAGAGTGGAATAAAAATAAAATGCTAATAATAACCTGTTGTTTAGGGCTCCAGACTCCCTACAAGTCATCATAATTATTTCAAACCTCTCCAAAGTCTTGGAAGCATTTGGATCGTTGATGTCAACCTATACGACGAATTCAATTAACAACACATAAAGTTCGTTCATGTTATCACGTACACTTACTAATGTAATTACAAAATTCATACACACCTTTGATCTTATTATACAAGAAAAATCGTAAAAAACCTTATAGACATCTTTCATTGTCTTAGCCCGATCAATGATCTTAGCAGTAAGACCTAGAAGGCAACAGAAAATATGACCACACAACATACATTGTTTTAGCCCGATCAGAATCACGAGATGCCTCAAATCCGTGTTAATAAAATTACATCATCTTAAATTACGAACATACCAAGCCTTATTTGCACAACGCCCCTGAAGACTTGAATGTTATTGTAGCACATGGCTAATGTCCCCATGGACATCATCTGCATCGGATCAGTGCAAGCAAATAATGCTTCAGCATGGTAATTATAAATGAGGTGTTTGGTAAATAGCTGTTAGCTGATTGAGTTGGTGAGTTTGACTAGTTGATAGCATTAGTTGATTGTAGAAAGATGTTTAGTAAATTAGCTGTTAGCTTAGCTAATTATATGCAAAATGACTTTCTCAAAAGCTTATCAAATTAGCATTTTGGAGCAATAAACTGTTGTAAAAAGCTAATGAATCAAACACTTATATTGATTGTTTAACTAAATCAAACAGCTAATAATGATCAAATAAGCTAAAATTGGTTGATAAATTAACTATATTACCAAATATAGCCAAAATCGAGAAACCTTTTCTTTTGATAACTTGTTGTGTGTACGTGTATATATGTGAAAGTGAAACTACATGCAATGATCAGGAGAAACATAACCTAAAATCGATCGAAACAATATTGTAATTAACATGCCTGTGGAATAGCGCAAAACATAAGGATAGAAGGATCCCGGATAGAGGACAGGTAAATCAAACAATCTTCCACATATGATAAAGCATTTGTGACCATTTCATTCAGACATTCCACTGCCTTCACTGAGTTCTCCTCATATTTCAACTCCTACATATACATGCATGCAGAATATAATGCTGGCATGCAGCTCATGAAATTAAGCTAAATTATATTCAAGAAATATATATGAAATAAACCTCAAGTTTGTTGACGTATTTACTCCAAATCTGGCGGGGCCAAAACATTCGACACTTTGGCGTCTCATTAATATCCTCCAGATAATCCCTAATCACGTTTGTTTTCTGAAATATAGGAATGAAATTAGCTAGCTAGGGTACGCTATTGAATCCTTAATTTAAAAAAAAAAAAAAAAAAAAGGATCGGAGCTAAGGTTTAACCGAAATAAATACCTGAAGGAGCAGACCCATAGAATTGGAGAGAGAATCTGAAGCTAAATCTTCTTTCCAAGCGGTATGAAAAAGTCTTGACAAACCTATTCCAACAAGCCCAGCAGCATAATGACAATATTCATCAAAATCATCAATTGTTTCAACCTGCAATATATACGTACACCAGAGGGAATGATGAAATTGTGACGGTTGATGATCATTTTATATATATATATATATATATATATATATATATATATATATATATATATAATAAATGTGCAGTCTCACTTAATGGGTAACCATTGAATGGATTATATTGAATATGAACAAATTAAAAGTGCACACTTGTGTGTGTGAATATTACACTGTACCTCCTTGCCTATAAACTTTGCCATTCCCCTACCCATTCTCTTGGTAATATCTTCAATTACTTCCTGATAACTGCAAATATAACAGGTATCACTTTCAAGTATAGTATATATTTTAGTACAAGAAAGAAACATGAAATTTAAATACATCTAAGAGAACCTATTTAAATTTTGATGATTTAACTTTTTTGCTTTTTTTCAAATAATTCGATAATCTATTCGATCAACTATATATATACTCACGCTTTCTCAAGTTCCAGAAAAGCAGTGGAAACATGATGGAAATTGACCATGAGAACTTTATAGTACTTTTTAGTACAATCACCTGACAAAGGAAGTTATTAGCCATAAAATATGATGGATTGATGGAGAGATCGAAATTGAACTGGGGAAAATCACAACTACATATGTTTATAGCTAAGCTAGATTGAGTCGCAAAACGTAACGTAACTCACACGAGAAATGCCATTCGCGGTCATATATGTGTCGATGAAAGTTCAGCAGTATAGGTACTTTAACCTCTGTGGCTATGCTTGTATCATCCTCTATACACAAACAAATTAAATTTAAAACCATATAGATAGGTAGAAAAACAATTTCATGCATTATTATATTTTGCGGCTTCTGATGATCTCTAAGTAATTCTTTACTACTAAAGACGTACTGAACATTTACATACCCACAGTGTCAAGTGCTCGAAGAACCAAATAGAAAATGCACACCTGCAAATTAAAGGTGATGATCAGATCAGCTCAGGTTCCTATGCTGGCAGTGCTTTTCATGTGACCCATCAGTCACCAGTATGCATAAATGCACCACAAGGTACATATTCGAAAATACACCATTAAGTGTGGTGCGGTGTGGTACACTTTTTGGTGTGTGGTGCATTGGTGTACATTTCAGAAGTGCATTTAGCATACCTAATGTTGAATCCGCATTAGCCCGAAGGAAAGCACTGCCCGCGTTTGTAGAACATAATAATTTTAGTAAAGATGGAAAGGAACTTACAGGGCCGCGAAGGTGTTTAGGAAGCTTCTGGATAGCAAGAGCGGAGCTTATAGAGACCTTTCGGAGTATAGTGAAGCAGAATCCCCAGTGAGGCTGCGGCGGAATCTGCTTCCCCATCACCTTCCTCGCCTCCATCTTTAGCTTTATAAGCGGATACACCTCGTCTGGATGCTTTAACATCGCCCCCAAAAGCCCCATTATCTCCTATCCGCCCAACTAAATACCTACCAATTTTATGAATTTTTCTACCGATGATTAATAAGTTTGATTTTTCCTTTAGCGAATCTCAAAATTCCATAAGAAAGAATGATTTGAATGTGGTCTTTATATAGTACGTACCCGTGAGTGTTCTGCGATACAAAGCTTTTGAGACTTAGCTGCTTGAAAACGGAAAATATGAATGTGTCGTACGTTAATTGATTGTTAAAGACAATGCATGATCACAACGCATGCATGTAATCATAATATGTACGGAGTATTTGTAGATCGATGAACTGAGACAGCTACTGGACAACTGCTTACCGCACTAATAATATTGTTTTTTGTTTTTTCAAATACTAGTAATTCTGTACAAAGTAGTATTTGTTCTATATTTTTTCAAAAAAATTTCAGTCCAAAGAACCAATGAGCCTACCACTAGATTTGATCCTTTTGGAATAGTAACAGATGTGCCATATGTTGAGCACATCTAATCTAAAAACATAATAAGTGTGAATGAAAGTTATACCCCTGTTTTATGTCCGTTTTTTCGTTAAGTTATTTTGTACATTATGCTATAAAGGTTATACATTAAAATATTTTGGACAAATATACCCCTACCGTTATCTTTTCCACTATTGTTATCATGCATATGCCTCCACCATATATTTTCTTATTTTCTTCATTAATAATAATATATACATATTAAATATTTGAGTTATATGTTAATTATTACATAAATATAAATATAAAATTTATAAAAATGATTTACATTATTATTATTTTTATTTAGAATAATTTAAATATCTAAAATTTAAATAAATTTAAAATTTTAATATAATGTATTAATACTGGGCACCTATTTTTTGTGCATCGCGCATAAAAAATACTAATATAATATATAAATATAAATGTACAATGATCAATTATCAGCTTAGATTTTTAATTAAAATAGAGCACATGCTCCAATTTGATATCAGAGTCAATCCCATGTTAAAGGTAACAATCGGCTCGCACACGTGAGAGAACATGCTAAGCATATATAATATAAAAACATAAATTTACAATCCAATTAGCTATTGAGATGGAGCACATATGCATGCTTCAATTCCATCAAGTTGGCTAATAATATTGTATTTGAAAAAATGAAATTTATTATTTAAAAACAAGTAGTACCTATTCCGATCCAATCATGTAAAATCTTTGCTTGAGTGTAGTAATAAATAGCTAGATTTGTAACTAATCACTTATATTAAGGTAATGATTTGGCTAGTTAGACTAACAACGTAATTTGGTGATGGGTTATAGGTTATTTAAGTATGGCCCTCCTATTGCTAGTTGTAGCCACTTAGAAGATTAAGTGGTAAAAATATATACTTTGTAATGTTTAGTTCCTTGTCAACTAAAGACACGCTCTATTTATTTTCGTTTTCATTATAAAATTAAACATCTATATATGATTACATGTACTATTAGATACATGTTATATATGCCAACTATCATGTAGTGTGATGACATCCGGATTATTCATTCAAGTGGATGGTCAAAGGTTTTAACTTTGATGGTAAAAAAAAAAAAAAAGATACATGTTATATGTGTTGTTATATTTTATGCCTAATATGGAAAACTTATTTGATCCATCTCACGATGGTTACACCAAACAATACGGATTTGTCAGATCATCCCTAACATATTTATGTTGGTTAACTTACCATTACCACACATGCATGAACCTACATGACAAGTGAAAATTGAACAAATTATGATATTTAATTCAAAAAAAAAATCAAATTGTAATTATTTTAAGGTTTGAAACCCGGAAAATGTATTCCGTAAAATGTTTTTCGAGTTTTTAGTGTTTAGTAAGAGGGGGAAATTAAAATGAGGTCAATGGAAAATGATGCATTAGTAAAAAAAAGAAAAAAATAGGTACGTTTTGAGGGAAAATGATTTTCCCTTTTATTTTTTGGGAAGTCAAAAAAAAATAGGTATATATTATATAGTAATATTATATATATATATATATATATATATATATATATATATATATATATATATATAAATATATATATATAATACTATAAAATTGGTCTGAAGCCCGCGGGTAGGGCTGTGCAAACCCGACCAACCCGTCCGATCCGAATCCGAAACCACCCCATCCGACCCGCCCGTGGTCCGACTGGCCATATCCGAACCGAAGGCATAAACGACGTCGGATAAAGGAGGTCGGATAGGGTTTGGTTTTTTCCCATCCGACCCGTCCGACAACCCGATCTAACCTAGGGTTATGTTTTATGTGTATGCTAGACGACGTCGTATGAGGTGAGTATATATGCATGTTGAAGCCCTTGTGAAGCCAGATGCGCAGCCCTACTCTTCTGATTCTTCTCTGAGACTCTCTCACTCTCAAAGCTCTTCTCTCGTTCTCTGCTCTCTACTCCTCTCAATCTCACCCTCTCATTCCTTTGAGTCTCTCACAGTCTCACCTCTCTCTAGTCTGTACTCTCTGAGACTGAGAGTCTGACTGTATGAGACTCTGACTCTCTGTGGACTGTGGAGTCTTCGACTGTCCGATTGTCCGATTGTCCGGTGGGCGGTGGTCGACTGGTGGAAGCCCTTCTCGAGTTGGTGGTGGAACGTGGACTGGTGATTAGAGGCCCTTGTTCTCCGAGGAATATTAAGGGGAAACCAAGTAAATCAGAAACCCTAGTTTTTGTTTTTTGTGATATGTTGATTCTTTTCTCTCTGTATGTTCATATATGCTCGTATATTATTGTTAGATTATGCGATGTTGTGTTCTATTCTCTGATCTATTATGGTGGAAGCAGAAACCCTAGTTTTTGTTTTTGTGATCTGTTGATTCGTTTCTCTCTGTATGTTCATATGCTCGTATATTATTGTTAGATTATGCTATGTTGTGTAGCCCTGTGCAACGGACGGATCGGATGGTTTTTCCGTTCATCCGATCGGATTGCGGATTGAAATTTTGAAGTCCTATCCGACTTTTTTGAAACTAAAACCCTATCGGATATGCTATGTCGGATTTCGGATTATTCGGATCGGATGTCGGACCACATTCGGATTTGGAAAAGTTCATTGAAAATTGAAAATTAAAAACTGAAAAAACATAATATGATTAATTTAATATGATAATATCTAATCTACCAAGTTTCTATTAACAAAATAAGTAATAACTAATAAGTTAACAAACTAAAACATGCAACAACTTTTTAATGGACAGTTTGCAGAGCTAAATAATTTAAGTTTTACAAACAAAATTGCAAAAAGTAAACCAATACAAAATGAATATAAGTTTAAGTGTTTAACTTCCAAAACATCAAAAATTTGAAGTTAATCACTTAAACAGTTAAACTTCAGCAAGACAACAATCATTCCAGTAATCCAGTCTAGGTCTTTTCATCAAATCATCAATCACCATTTCTACACTTCTTCCTGTTAATATGAAAACTTAACACAATATTAGATTATTAGACAACCTATGTACTAAACAACTAACTAAGTAACAATATTATGCTGTAGGGGCATTAGGCTAATAGCCTTATAGGCTCATATTGCAATTTTCCATTTCAAGCAAGGATAGTGGCAAATTGCTCAAATGTGTTATTATAGCACATGAGCAACATAGCAACACTATACCATTTGTTCAGACAGTGGTGGAAGCATCATCATTGCCAAAAAAAGAAGTAAGAATAAATAATAATGCATTAAAACTGAACAGAGATCAATTAAGAGGATGAGAGTAATACCAGAGATCCAGATGGATGTAATGGGAGTATGGGACATCAGTACTGAATAGTGAATACTGCTCAACTCTAAGTGGGGCAACATTTCTATAATATAATTATAGAAAGTTGCCAAACCACTTAGACTGTTAAGACTCTTAGAGTTTCATCTTGTGAAGGCCATCAGCAAACAACAGTACAACATCATAACATATAAAGATAAATAATTAGTTAAACAAGTAATAATTACTGAAAACATTACAGGAATGGATGGCAGCATTGATGGTAGAGTAGTTCCAGCTCCAGTGGGTAACTCTGCAAAACAGTTAAGTATAAGTAGTTAGTTCTAGACTTACAAGTTACAAAAGTAAAAAAGAAATGATTTAAGAATTATATATTTACCTTTCTCCAATCTTTCAACCTCATCTAAATTTTCCTCAAGTGTGATTGGCTGATTATGTAACCTCAACCAATCTTGGGTACACAGTAAAGCTTCCACAATTTTAGGAGTCAAGGAACTCCTAAATGCATCAAGCACCCTCCCACTTGTACTAAATGCACTCTCAGATGCAACTGTGGAAATAGGAACTGCAAGTACATCCCTAGCCATTTTGGAGAGAATAGGAAATCTCTCACTATGATTCTTCCACCACTTTAGAACATCAAAACTCACAGATTCATCATCCTCAACCAGATTTTCACTCAAGTATATTTGTAGCTCTGTCTGCTTACTGCTTCCACCACCACTCTCCAATCTCTTTTTTTTAAGTTCACTCTTCATCCTTGAGACAGGCCTACCAACTGTACAAGTAGTAGGCTGAGACTGGACAGGTTGGTTAGAGGATGAACTGTCAGAGTATGTAGCTGCATAGTCATTGTACAATGCAACCATTGAATTTTGGACCTTGGCAAAACATTCTTTGCCTTTGGCCTCTCCATACAACTGGACAAACTGGTGAGGCATGTACTCCTCTTTATCTCTAGGGTCCAGAATATTGGCAAAGAAAATGATATGGTTCATTTTTTCTGGATCTCCCCAGTACTTATCAAACTTCTCTTTCATTTTTGTCCCCATTGCCTAATAAATGCAGAAACTCAGAAAGCATAAGCATTTAAAAACACAAACAAGTAAACAACTTACAAGATATACAGAATTACACAAATAAATTGCACAAGTTTTTTACCTTTTCAGTTCTCTCAGCTTTAGTCATATCTTCCAGCATGCAACTGAGATCAGAGATCTCAGAGAAGAATGTGTTAGAAGTGACATAAAGAGAACCAGATATTCTCACAGTCATTTCATAAAAAGTTTTCAAAAGCTTCATTAAGCTTTCAACAGTCTCCCAATCAAGGAAAGAAGGTGCAGAACCCAAGTCAGCAGAAAAAGAATGATCATTTTGATGATATGAGTCAAAGACACTTT